TTGAAAGAACCGAGAGGCTGGTTTCCGAATAATTAAAAAAAATTTAATTGTACTAAAGGAATGAATAATTACCTAAATTTTTGGGAAGGCAGGTTTAACGGTCGACCAAGCTTTTTTTTGTAATTAGTAAAAGAGAGAAAAAATTCGTCAAAGTTTTACCCCACAATTTTAAGTCGATTTTAAAAATTCAAAAACCATTCGAAAAATCTTGGTTGGAAATCGTATTCATTAGTTTTTGGTAAAAACCTGCCGGACTGATTAGGTTTGCGGGACGATTGAACTAGCCGGTTGTTTGAAATTAGCATAAAAAGCAAAAATATTACATTTTTGGGATAAAGCCAGAAACCGATTTTTAAAACTAAAAAAAGATTTCTGAAAGATATCAATTAAGAGTCAAAATATTTGACAATTTTAAAAATTTATCAAAGTTTGATAAAACTTCATAGTCAAAACTCGTGTTAAAAGACGCTTTTGTGATGTGATAAATCAAAATTCAATTTTCAAAAACGCCTGAACTGATTTCACAAATTAAAAGACATTGGACTAAACTCGATAAATAGAACCTAGATATTCAAGAATTTCGAGTTTTTTTTTAAATTCTAAAATAATTCGATTATTTGAAAATTTTAGACATTTTAATTTTCTCAAAATTTTGAAACCAGTGGACTTGCCTTTTCGGAAAACTAATCATTTCTTCATATCACTAAAATACCACAAACAAAATATTTTTTTAGTCATTCCAATCGAATGATCTGTACTCTCAAAACCTTCATGACCACTTTGCACCTTCTGCGCTCTGTATCTCCAAAAATGCTAAACCTGCCTGCATAAACAGTACGCGAATATTTTTTGAATCATTCATGGCGATTGATCCTTGCAAAGGACATTTAAACTATCTAAGAAGTAAACTTTGAAAAAATTAAAAATCTTGGTACGGAATGATTCAAAATAATGAAGACAAAATTTGTAATAATTAATGTTTTTATAAAAAATCTAATAATTTGATGTCAATGATCATTTTTTATCATCAAATGACACCGTTTTGGATCACCAAAAACGCTGACCACGCTCTCGCAAAATTTTCGATAGTTCTTATTTCGTCATACAAGTAAAAAGTGTCTTGAATTATTCAAATCGGACGCTTCGTTTTTGAAAAATTGAATCAGCATTTTTTTAACTCTTTGCTCCCTATTCCGAAACTGTCTTTGCAAAAAACTAATCAGCACGTCTTCCCGAATGCCAATTGGCAAAAAATTGTAACCGCATAAACACATAATATGTATACATCCATTTTTTCTAAGGCATGTCAAAATGTTCAGGAGAACTTAAAGCGTAGAGATATATAAACAATTTTATTTACGATTTTTTAGGATTATTATAACTTAGCCTTTCTGAAGTTGATAATATGATACATCAAGAAAATATCAATGCGGCACCCACGAATAATAAATTTGATTAGAAAATGCATTACGTTCTATTCCATCGAAAATGATCTCTAAATTTACAAAAAAAAATCTGAATCTATCCTTAAAATGAATTGTCGTGTCATTTCATCGAGTTTAAAATTTTTACATTTTGAAAAATTTGCCGCCCCCTAAATAATGCCGCCCTAGGCCCGGGTCTCACGGGCCTTTGGGGTAATCGGGCACTGTTTATATTAGAAATTCATGTTATTTGTTAATAAATATGTTTAAAAGATAAATTTGGTTATAATTCTTTTCCCCTAGAACCTAACTATATATTTCAAAATTAAGGCGGCACTCTAAAACATATTGGTAGAGTGGCTTGGCACACTACAGTTAAAAGCTTGCCGACCCATGATCTAAAAGATAAAATTGTCATTCATACTCATCAGAAGAGTTAAGTAACTCTAACCAAACGTTGTGACTGTTTTCCTGGTTTAATATTACTATGAGATGATATTTTGCAAGTGTACCTTCAAAAGCCCTCTCGCTAAATCCGGCCCTGGTTTTAAAATGTAAACTCACAAACACACAAACACACACACACACAATTCTACTCTAATATTATGAATTTCCACCTTTTAGCAAGAATAACACACAAACATTTTCGACTCGTCTCGTAACGTTATAGCTAATGTTGTGTACAGGAAAGCTGTTAAGGCGCGAAGCTTAAAAATTACTTCCACGTCTAACAGGTTGTTGTCGATTTAATTATCTAAACACTACACCTTTAAATTTGTTCTATTGTATAATAGAACTCTTAGTGTGATCTGTGATTATTTAAATAAAATGCGACGTTTGATAATTAATATATATTATAAGAAAATATGGTGAATATAATGGCAACAGATAGTTGATGTTTCTATACTGCGCTCTAAACTTATACTAAATAAAAATTATTAAAAATTAGAATTAACAATATTAGCCCCGCCCGTAAGAGGCGGGTTACATTAATTTCTACATATACGGAGGATGATTTCTCGGACTTAATATCTGAGAAGGATGAGTCCTGGAAATTATCTGAAGGCATTTGCAGACTCATAAATAAAATTATCGACGCCGATATAGATAGTCCAGACATATAACTAACATCAAAAAATAAAAAATATCTTATGTTACAAATGCATCTAGCACTTGAACTGTGAATGACATTAGACCACCTAATTTAGACCACCTACATCTTAGTCCGGCGACACTATAGTCTAGACGACGACCCTTATAAAAAAAATAGTTCATGTTACACTCGTAATAATATACTTTATGAATTCTTAACATGGCGGGCACCTTGAAATAATACTAATATTATTTCGAAACTAAAGATACATTAATTATAAGCCTAATAATATAAGTAATTAAAAAAAAGTAATTTAAACTTCACTAACTCATGTCACTAATTGAAAGTTATTAAATTGTATTAAATTGTTTGTCATAAATTGTTCTGTTCTATTATTTTGTACACTTCACTTAGTTTATTAATTCACATGATTGTGTTCATTATCAATGGGTAAAGCACAAACCTTAGTGGCAGCTCTTTTGAAAACGTTATTTTGAACTTTCACTGTCACTACACGCACTTCCTTATCTAGTCCTGGATGCACCTCGATAATGCGACCTAATTGCCAATTCAGTGGAGGTACATTATCTTCTCTGAGAAGTACCATGGTTCCGACCTTTAATGATTGGTTTGCACGGCCTGTGCGTTTTGTCCTACTCTGCAACTCCGAAATGTATTCCTTATGCCAGCGTTTCCAAAAATGTTGTGCCAAACGCTGCAGGTGCTGGTAGCGTCCTAGTCTGTTTTCAGGAATGTCAAGTACATTTGGGTCGGGAATAGATGTTAAGGATTTTCCAATTAAAAAATGGCCAGGAGTCAATGGATTTAAATCATTAGGATCGGAACTCAAAGGAGAAATTGGCCTGGAATTTAAAATAGCTTCGATCTGTGCTAAAATTGTATAGAAATCTTCAAAGGTAAGGCATGCATTTCCTAAAATTCGCTTTAAATGCGACTTACATGATTTTATACCGGCTTCCCAAATACCTCCAAAATGGGGTGATTTAGCAGGAATAAAATGCCAATTGATGCCGTCGTCACTTAATGATTTCATAACATTGCTAAGGTTAGTTTTGCGCAAAAAATTAGCTAATCTTTTAATTTCCGACGATGCCCCGACAAAATTTGTTCCGTTGTCTGAATAAATGTTAGTGGGTTTTCCCCGACGTGCGATGAATCGTCTGAGTGTAGCTAAAAAGCATTCTGATGTTAAATCCGATACCAGTTCTAAATGAATGGCTCGCGTACTAAAACAAATAAATAAGCATATATACCCTTTAATTTTTTTATACCCTCTAGTACGACGATCTCTCAACATAATCGGACCTCCAAAGTCCACGCCGCAATTCGTGAATGGCAAATGGGGAGTGACGCGGTTTTTTGGTAAATCGCCCATTAATGGGGAAGTAGAAGTAGGATTAACCTTGAAGCAGATAACGCATCTTCGTATAATACCTTTAAACAGATTTCTACCGTTGATTGGCCAATATGTCTCTCTGAGCGTATGTAACAAGTGTTGCGCTCCAGAATGAAAAGATTTGATATGTTCATATCTGGCAATCAATGATGAAAGTGCATGATTTTTAGGTAGAACCATTGGGTGACGCTTATCGTAACCTAAGTCAGACAACTTTATTCTACCGCCAACTCTCAAAATACCGTTTTCGTCTAAAAATGGGTTGAGAGATTTTAAATCTGATTTAGTTTTTATTGGCTCGTGGTTTGATAGAGACTCTATTTCATTTTTGAATCTTTCACGTTGTGCTAATTTAATTAATCTTACGCGAGCATCATTAATTTCGGTGGTTTTTAATTCACCGTGGATACAGTCGCCCTTGTTCTTGGCCTTGTTCTTGCAATTTTTAAGGAACCGAACACAATATCCAATGACCATAACTAACTTTGTATATGATGAATACATATTAAATATATTAGTTGTGGTTTGTTCTATTACTGTTAACGAAACATGTTTAATTTCTTCTTCGGTTTCTGATATGAAATCTGCGCCAAAAGAAAGTTTGTCAGTGGTATTCAACCAAGATGGACCAAACCACCACAAATCTGAATTAATTAATACTTCCGGTAACATTCCTCGCGAAATTAAATCGGCAGGATTATCTTCTGATCTAACATGGTACCAATTGTTTGGATCCGTATTGGTTTGGATCTCCGAAACCCTATTAGCAACAAACGTTTTCCACTTGCGGGAAGGCGATTTAATCCATGCTAGTACTATTTTTGAATCGCTCCAAAGCATTTCGCGATTAATGGAAATTTCTAAATTATCTTTAACTTTATTAACTAATTTTGATAATAAATGAGCCGCGCATAATTCTAAACGCGGCAATGTGATGTTTCGTAACGGAGCAACCCGCGATTTTGCCGCTGCAATATGTACTGAGCAATCCATGTTATTATTAATAGTTTTTATGTATACACAAGCACCGTAGGCGCTTTCAGATGCATCGGCAAATCCGTGTAATTCACAAATGATAGGATGGTGCAAATACATATGTCTATTAATATTGATGTTATTGATAAATTTTAAATTATTACAAAATTGTGACCATGTTTTGGTTATTTTTGATGGTACTTCTTCGTCCCATGATAATTTGCACTTCCATAACTCTTGCATGATTAATTTTGGAATTATAACTACTGGCGCTAACAGGCCTAATGGATCATAAATTTGAGCCGTAGTGGCTAATATTGTCCTCTTACTGATTTTATTACTTATAGTGATGCTGTCTGTTGTATATGCAAATTTATCAGAGTACGAATTCCATACCATCCCTAAAGTTTTAATTTGTTTCTCGCTGAAATTTACGATATAATCTTCACTTTGAAAGGCTACGTGATTGCTATTAAATTTTCGTAGATTAAACTTGGCTTGATTCAAAATTTTTAATAAATTTTGCTTTATAGTTTTTAACTGCGGTAGAGTATCTGCTCCGGTAATTAGATCATCTACATAGAAATCCTTTCTAATTATTTCACATTCAATGGGGTAAGTTTCATAATTTTCCTTGCACAATTGTTCAAGACATCTTATGGCCAAAAATGGAGCAGATGCTGTACCGTACGTTACCGTATTTAATTCGAAACATTTTATAGAATCATTAGAATTATCGCGCCAAAATATTCTCTGAAACTTCCTATCATCCTTGTGAATTATAACTTGCCGATACATCTTTTCGATATCAGCTGTCAAAGCGTACTTGTGCCGTCTAAATCTTAAGAGAATGGAAAAGATATCCTTTTGTATCGTCGGCCCTACTGCTTGTAAGTCATTGAGTGACCGACCGTTACTTGTCTCACATGAGGCGTCAAATACCACCCTCAGCTTGGTGGTTAAGCTTTCCTTTTTAATCACCGGATGATGAGGCAAATAATAAGCGTTTGTTGGTTCTCGAAATTCATTAACCTCTCGCATATGACCTAATTTTAGGTATTCATCTATGAAGTTTTTATATTCTTTGAACAATTCTGTATTAGCCTTAAAACGTTTTTCGAGAAGAGCGAATCGTTTCAATGCAATTTGTTTCGAATTTCCTAATTCAATTTTATTATATTTAAAAGGTATTCGAACGACAAATCGTCCGTCAAAATTTCTATTAGTATGTGCCACAAAATGACGTTCACATTCTAATTCACAATCACTAAAACAATTTGCATTTTCAACTTTCTCTAATTCCCAAAATTTTTCTACATTGTTATTTAAAATTGAAATTTCTGAGAAGTTACAAAACGTTTTATTTGTTAAATCATGTGATTGAATTGTTCCCGAAATAATCCACCCTAATGCAGTATTTTGCAAGATCGTGTTAGTCTTGGGCAATTTAATAAATCTGCTCCCAATAACATATCGATCCTACCACTGATATTAAAATTTGGATCGGCTAATTTTATACCGGGAGGAATTTTCAAAATGTTTGTTGAAAACGAAACCGAAGGCATATGACTTGTTATTGACTTTAAAATTAAACATGATATGTTGCTTGAATACGAATTTATATTTGATTTAACCGAAACTTCTGTTTTGTGACTAACATCCGATAAAGATTGACTAATACCTGAAACGGACATCTTTATCGGTTGTGATTTTAAAGAAAGTTTTTTTGAAAATTCCTGCGTTATAAAATTAGATTGTGAACCGCTATCCAACAAGATTCTAGCTGGAACCCAAGCGCCGTTCTTATTCAATGCTGATATGACCGCTGTCGAAAGTAAGACGTGTGATTTAATTTCATTACTAAAAAATGATGTGCTAGGTACAGCATCATTTGAGGGTTTTTTCGATGGCTCTTCGCAATGCAACAGGGTATTATGTTTTTCGTGGCAAACTACGCAACGAAATGAAGCTGGGCAATTATCAATATGGTGATTTGTATTTAAGCAATTAGTACATACATTTAATTGATTTGCTCGCGATATTCTCTCCTTCACTGTTAGTTTTTTAAAATCCTCACATTTGAATAATAAGTGACGTTTCTTGCATAATACACATTGCATTGCGTTCGAGATCGCATATGATTTTGTAATTCTGTCAGTTCTTAATGGCACTTGTTTATGGGATTTGATACTTGGAACCTTATCATAGTGGAGCGATTCAAAAACCTGGCACCGATAATCCAGAAACTTTACCAGATCGGAAAATTTTGAAATGTCCGAACTTTTATTGTTGGATAGCTCCCATTCGCGACGAGTTTCCGAATCCACCTTACTTAACATTAAATATATAATCAATGAATCCCAATTATTGACAGGCTCACCTAACGCTTCTAAACAACGTAAATTTTTATTGAAGCTATCCACTAACTTTCTTAACTGTTGTAGAATCTCAGCTGTTCCGTTCGGCTTGCTTTGTCCTCGCGGTGCTAACACTTGTTGTTAGCTTTTTTGTTAAACTTATTTATTATATTTAATAATTTGATTTATTATTAATTGAATTTTATAATGGAAATACTATTATTCTTTTGAATATAGTAATTTATTTGTGATTTTATTAAATTTAATCACTGAATTTTAATCATTTATTTGTGGTATTATTAAATTTAATCATTCTCATTCTATTAATTTTATTTTAATTTAATAATAACTCACTTGAATTTATTAATTTTATTACTGATATTATAAACTAATCACTTGAATTATTAATATTATTAAATTTAATCATTTGCACTATAGATTTGATTTTAATTTAATAATTTACTTTAATATTTTAGCGGACTGTATGTTGCTGGTTGATTAATTTATTTGAACGTCCAAAAGATCACTTAAAATTATTAATATTGTTTATTTGTGTCCTTTGGAAAGTTGTAAAAGTCCAAATGATAAATATTCGGCTCGTTTGGACCAAATGTTAAGGCGCGAAGCTTAAAAATTACTTCCACGTCTAACAGGTTGTTGTCGATTTAATTATCTAAACACTACACCTTTAAATTTGTTCTATTGTATAATAGAACTCTTAGTGTGATCTGTGATTATTTAAATAAAATGCGACGTTTGATAATTAATATATATTATAAGAAAATATGGTGAATATAATGGCAACAGATAGTTGATGTTTCTATACTGCGCTCTAAACTTATACTAAATAAAAATTATTAAAAATTAGAATTAACAATATTAGCCCCGCCCGTAAGAGGCGGGTTACATTAATTTCTACATATACGGAGGATGATTTCTCGGACTTAATATCTGAGAAGGATGAGTCCTGGAAATTATCTGAAGGCATTTGCAGACTCATAAATAAAATTATCGACGCCGATATAGATAGTCCAGACATATAACTAACATCAAAAAATAAAAAATATCTTATGTTACAAATGCATCTAGCACTTGAACTGTGAATGACATTAGACCACCTAATTTAGACCACCTACATCTTAGTCCGGCGACACTATAGTCTAGACGACGACCCTTATAAAAAAAATAGTTCATGTTACACTCGTAATAATATACTTTATGAATTCTTAACAAAAGCTATATAAGCCATAAGATAGTTTTTCTATCTTATCCTGTTATCGACAGCTATAGCTTTGGGAGGCTGTAATGTAAGTAGAGAATACAATTTTCTATATAAAATATCTATATCGTTCGTTCTTTGTCGGGGTGCATTAAGAAAATCAATTTTAAAGCATCCCTCTCTTCATCGTGTATGTTGTTAAGGATGCGAAAATATACTCTGAAAGGTAACATGATGAATAGTGCGAGCCCTGAGGGTAAAACTACTATATACTGTATAATGACATTATTAATATTTAAGAAATATATTATATGCTATAATATAATATATATAATTCCAAAGACTCCCGCTCCTTTCGCTTTTGATTCCGACGACGCTTCATCTTTTATATTTTGTCAAAATATTCAAAATTTACCCAATAAATTACTCAAAATTGAATTACTTTTAAATGACTATAAGCCTTATTTTTTATGCTTTTCTGAACATTGGCTTAACGAAACCAAACTCAAATTAATTAAATTAAACGGTTACTATCTATGTTCCTCTTTCTGCCGAAATGATTTTAAGCATGGAGGCGTTTGCATTTTTTCGTCGGTTAAAATTAAATGTAATAACATTATAACAAATATTGCACCTGTTGAAAAAATTTTTGAATTTTGCGCTGTAGAAGTCAATTTTTCTCATACTACTTATTGTATTATTTGCGTATATAGAGCTCCAGATCAAGATGCTATTAAATTTATACATTTACTTTATGTTCTAATGGAAGAACTTTTTCATAAATATAACTCTATTATTGTTTGCGGTGATTTTAATATCCATCTGGACAAAAGCTCTAAAATCAGCGAAAGTTTCAAATCTAGCATGGATTCATTTGGTTTATTTCCTACCATAAATGATCCCACGAGAATAAGTACTTCTTCTTCCTCTTGCATTGACAATTTTTTTACAAATTTAACTGATATAAAAACATTTGTCATTAATACGGGTCTTTCTGATCACTACGGAATTTTCCTATCTTTATTAAACAACACAACTTCACAATCTATTAATTATCAATATAAAAGAAATTTTAATAATAATAATAAACTCTTATTCAAAGAATTATTAGAAAACGAGACGTGTAACCAATCTTATGAAAATATTACTTTTGACTCGTTTATTAATTCTTTTTTACATAAATTTAATCTTGCTTTTCCGCTATTGAAATATAAAATCCAAGTTAATAATTTCCATAAACCTAACGCATGGTATACTCAAGGCTTGAGAATTTCGTACAATAAATTACTAAGTCTAGAAAGAGCGTCTAAAACCAACTTCGATATCGACTTTATGATTTACTTTTTAAAATACAGAGAAATTTTTAATAATATTTGCAAATTAGCAAAAATCAAGTCTAATGAAAGTGTTATTTATAATTCGCACAATAAGCAGAAGGCAATGTGGTCACTAATTAAATCAGAAATTAATTATAAATCAAGCTCTTCTGACATAGAATATCTCAATATTAACAATGAAAAAGTCAATGATAAAATAATTATAGCAAATGCTTTTAATAACTATTTTGTTAATGAATCTTTTTATATAACATCCAATATTGTAATCGATCCGAATATTTCAGCAGCACATTTTTCTAAAATTATTAGAAATCAGAATTCACTGTACCTATTTCCCATAACTCCTGATGAGCTGTCGAAAACAATTCTGTCCCTTAAAAATTCATACTCATCTGGTCCTGATGAAATTTCGTCTGATATTTTAAAACAATTCTATCCACTATTCATTGATGATCTCCTTACTTGCTTAAACAACGCAATTAGTAACGGTGTCTATCCGAATCATTTAAAACATTCAAAAATTAGGCCACTTCATAAAAAAGGCCCCACTGACATTATCAATAATTACAGGCCAATTTCTCTATTAAACACTTTTGACAAAATTTTTGAAAAAATATTACATAGTCGGCTAAACAATTTTTTAACAGTTAATAATATATTATATAAAAATCAATTTGGGTTTCGTCGAAATCACTCTACTTCTCACTCAATTTACACATTAGTCCATGACATTATTCACTCTTTCGAAGATGGTAGCTTCTGCGTTGCAGTTTTCTGAGACTTGTCCAAAGCTTTTGATTGTATCTCCCATGAAATTCTTTTAAACAAGCTCGATAAATACGGTGTACGTGGTATAGCTCTTGAATTATTTTCATCTTACTTATCAAATAGGACTCAATCTGTTTATCTTAATGATCGTGGTTCAGTAATTATCTCAGACAAACAAAATATTAAGCTCGGTGTCCCTCAGGGCTCAATTCTCGGACCATTATTATTTCTCATCTATATAAACGATCTGCCAAAATGTACAGATCTCTGTAAATTTATTCTTTTTGCCGACGACACTAGTGTGATTATAAAAAGCAATTCCTTAGAAGAAGTAAATAATAAATTAAATCTAGTTATGAAGTCAATTTCGAATTGGTTCAATTCTAATAATCTTTTGCTCAATAATGACAAAACCCAAATTATGTCTTTTCGAACAGTAAATAGGATAAGTCATGAGATCAATTCTTTAACTATCAATAGCATTCAATTTGAATTTTCCTCAGTCTCAAAATTTCTAGGCATCCAATTACAAAAAAACTTAAACTGGGACGATCATATTCATTCCATACTTGTACCTAAGTTAACTAAAACCTGTTTCATGTTGAGAATTCTTAAATCAAAAGTTAGTTTAAATTGCCTTCTTTCAATTTATTATTCTAATTTCTATTCGCATCTCGCTTATGGAATACAATTCTGGGGATTCTCATCATCCTTAAAGGATATATTCAAAATACAGAAAAGAGCATTAAAAATAATTTTTTCCCTCAGTTCTTTATCCTCATGTAGGAATCTTTTCCGACAATATAACATTCTCACTGTTCCCTGTATATTTTTGCTAATTACGTTGTCATTCATAAAGAATAATCCTGAACGCTTCAACCTATCATCCATGTTAAATTCCTATTATAAAACAAGAAATTTAACTATAAAAGGACCAACTTTTAAACTTGAAACATCTTTTAATACCATAGACGGAAGAGGAGTACAGCTTTTTAATCTACTCCCACTACATATTAGGAAACTGAATGATCGTCAATTTCATAATACTATTGTTAAACTTTTAAAAGCTCAAAGTTTCTACGATACTTCTGAGTTTGCCAAATTCGATATCAAACATTATTTTGATAATGAAATGCCTACTGTTACTAATTAATACTTCTTTTTGCAACAGTTGCAATTTTTTTCCCTTTTCAATACCTTTGCTAATTTTTATTCTAAATTATTTTACTATTTTCCTACTTTAAGTATTTTATCATTACAATTATTTTCATATTGTATATTCTTTTTTGATACTGCTCTTAATTTTTATTTTCCAGATATGATACTCAACTAAAAATTGCATAACGGATATTTCAAGGATTTTTTTACCATAAGAAGACTCTCAAGATCTACAACAATTAAACTATTTGAATTTTATTACATTTTTTTTTTCTTCAAGT